GAACACTACCTGCAAGAGGCAATACTAACACCCAAATTGTTGGTTAGGTACATGGATGAATATTTTGTCATCTTAACCAACGTGAAAGAAACATTAGGTTTACGATGGAAATGGAAGAGAATAAGTCCTTACCTTTTCTGGATGTGCTCATCATTAGAGAAAATGGTTAGTTAGGAAGAGATGTTTATAGGGAGCGTAATTTTCTTTCCAACCATAGTTACAAGACTGAGGTTGGAATTTTTAAGTCAATGATTCTTAGAAGTATGTGACTAGCGGATAGCAAGCATTTGACTAAAGAGTAGGAACGGCTGACAAATATATTTCTGGAAAATAAGTATCCTTTGGGCCTAATTGAGAATAATATCTCTCTATTGAGGAATACATTTTCAGACGGAGACCATTTAGTCAAAGATAGAGAGACTGAGACCTTTTCCCATGTCCTAATTTTGCCGTCATGTTTTCTCTCAAAAAAGATAGGCGAATTAGTGAAGAAGTGGGGCATAAAAACAGTGTTCAAAGAAACCCTCACACTTTTTTCTGTTATGCCATCTTTTAGAGAGAAATATGACCCATTCTCGAGATCCGGCTGCTACAAGATTGTTTGCTCATGTGGTCGATGTTATGTTGGTGAGACATTACGACCTATTCGAGAAAGACTGGGAGAACACAAAAATGCTTGCAAAGGTAGCTTGATCCAACGGTCAGAAGTGGCCGAAAATATGGTAGAAACTAGACATGAAATAGAATGGTCTCAAACTAGTAGGTTTGCTGATTATGGTACGTCTGTGGTTAAAACAAAGATAAGAGAGTCTATTGAAATTAATAGTTTAGGAAATTCGTTGAATGTGAGGAACGTTGGTAGAATGTTGAGCAGGAACTATTTATCCTGGATTGATAGATTGAATGAGAGAGAAGGTTTTAAGCCGCCGTCAAAAAGAAGATGAATTAATTTGTCTGCTCGATGATAGTTCTAATTTCACCAACATTTTTCCAAAATGTCAGAGTAAGCTCATCAACTAAACTAGACATTCCAGATTACGCAACCCTAGTCTTGCCTTTCCTTGGAGGGTTAAACGTTAATGACCCTGGACCGAGAGGTTAGGACAAGTGGTTTCGTAACTTGACTTACATGTTTACAAACTCATATATCATTATCTCTATCATACTTGCTTACGGACCTACGCAGTCTCGGTCATGGCTTTCTTTGAGGTCATTAGGCGTTGATGATTAGAGTCTAACTTTAACCTTTTGACAACTCTAATTTAGAACCGTTATTTCGTATAGACGCTAACACACGCACACATACACTCGAGCAAAAGTAGCAGGACAAGTGTGAAAGATAATTAGCCAAACCACTTTATATCTCCATCTAGGTTTTTAATGTTTGATCTTCTTTTGACTTAACTGAGTCTATATAAGAGGTAAGAAGAACCGGATAGTCTTCTTGGGCTAGTGTTTCGAAAGCCCTTTACAAGAATGACACCCAGCTCTGATGATACCCATCGAATGATGGACGAAAGCTCAGAACGTTTTCATTCGAAACGAGCAAGGAAGTCCCGTCGAATGCGTCAAAATGAATATCGTATAAAATCCAAACGGCTGCAGTACAAAGAGATTTATCCGTCCCCTTCTGGTGAGATCGACCAACGAATCTCTTCTTCATGCACTTTCATACGAAATGAAGGTCCCCCTAACAATCTACTTAAATACTTATTAGTAGTTGTTTAATCTGGTTTTCGCATTTTGATCATATTGGCAAGAAGACCTAGAGGAGTCCGAAGTGGACTGCCTTTTCGATCTCGAACAGGCATCATCACTATCCCCAGCGGGGCTCGAACCATAACAGTGCAACGCACAATTTCGGCACGTCAACCAGTAAGCCACGTTATCACCAGTGCCCTTGGATCACAGGGCAGATATGAATTTGAAATTAATGTGCCGAGATTGTAAACTGAACTGTCATTATGTGAATCCCGCTAGGGGTGCTGATAAGATCTGCTTGAACGAGGTCGAAACTACAGCTCAGCCTGGATACAAATCAGTTTTGAGAGGGATAGGCTATGCTGAATGCAATGAAAGAGTAAATTCTGTTCATCACATTGTGGGAGAATTCAAC